CTTGGTCCAGATCCCGGGCCTTCCTCTCCCTCGCTTTAGCCAGCCGAAACAACTTCATGTCCCTCATTTCTCCCCTAATTCCTTGTATATATGACTAAACGCTGCATTCTTAGCCTCCGTGACCGCCAGCTTCGCCTCCTTCCTAGCCACTTTGTACCTCTCTCTATTCGCTATCCTCTCCTCCTCGCTTGAGCTCCCTGCCAACTTCGCGTACACTACCTTCTTCGCCTCCACTTTACCTTGGACTATGTCATTCCACCACCAGTATCCTTGTTGCCTACCAGAAAAACCCTTCGATACACCTAACACCTCTCTCGCCGCCTTCCTCACATAGTTCGCCATAGTTGACCACATAGTGCTCGCGTCTCCACTACTTCTCCAAGCTCCCATAGCAGATAACCGCCCCTCCAATTCCTGTGCTTTATCCTTGGTTAAAGATCCCCATCTAATCCTTGGTCGGCCACGAGCATACCTCTTCTTCCTCTTCATCATAATGCCGATGTCCATCACTAAGAGCCTATGCTGAGTCGTGAGGGTCTCTCCCGGGATAACCTTGCAATCCTTGCACAACCCTCTATCACACCTTCTGAGGAGAAGGTAATCGATATAAGTCTTCGCCGCCGAACTTTGGAAAGTAACCAGATGGTCCTCCCTCTTCGGAAAAGTTGAGTTCGCAATCACCAGCTCGAAAGCCTTAGCGAAGTCTAACAANGTACCTCCTCCGTTCCTATCCCCAAGGCCAAAGCCACCATGCACCTCGCCATAACTACCAGCAGCCGCCCCAATATGGCCATTAAAATCCCCTCCAATAAATAACCTTTCAGTAGGAGGAATACTACGCACAATCTCATCCAGGCCCTCCCAAAAGCGCCTCTTAACCTCCTCATCCAAGTCCGTTTGCGGTGCGTAAACGCTAACTACATTGAGGGTGCACTCACCAATGACCAACTTAATAAACATTAGCCTATCATTCACTCGCCTAACCTCAACCACAGGCTCTCTAAGATCCCTATCCACCAAGATACCCACTCCATTCTTACCCCTCATGACTCCAGAGTACCACAACTTATACCCGTCCGCATTCCTCGCCTTCGACCCTGCCCACCTAGT